GATTAGGTTTAGTAGCAGTTTCAGTCAAAAAGTGAGCTGATGACGATGAATATTCCCTGAGGGTGAAAACTGAATCTAACTGAAATCAGCAGAAACAGGTCGATATGACATTTAAAAAAAATACCATTCTTGGATTACTGCGTAGCTGCCAATATGAAGCAAAGTGAGGTGAGGAGTGAGGTAATTGCTTCCCAAATGGGTATAGGCTAAAGTGATTTTTCATGCCAGCAAGATAAATGAGATTCAGATGATTCCAGTGTCTGTGTGTGGATTCTGCTCTGAACAGCTGTGCACATGGAAGCTTAAATATTGGTCCTCGCCTCAGGTGTGTATTCGTGTTTACAGCTTGCATTTGTCATGGCGGAGTCACGGTTTGTGAGCCATGTGACTCCCCGGGCTGCCTTCACGTGCCCCCCTAACCAGGGATTTGCTACTTGTTTTTGTTGAGCGCTGCTTCTGTCGAGTGCAATGACTGTCCAGGTATGAGATATGCCACAGCAGCAGCAGGCACCATTAGGCAGCAGATCTACAGTAGATGAAGAGAGTCAGTAGTTTGGCTCTGTTCTGTGGTAGCACATAAACATGAGGATTAATCCTTAAGCCCTTCGACAAAGGTTCACAACCATCATTTAGTCCTTATCAGGCTGCATGCAGCGCATGTATCCAGGAGAGGAGATAACATGGCTCAGCGCTTCACAATAAACCTTAATGGCAAGCGTGGTCGCAATCAGCTGATCTCTGAAGTGCAGCGGATGAATGGATCATACGCGGTTAAGCGTTTACGCATGCAGGCACAGAGACACGCATGTACAGTATATGAGTTAGAGACTAAGGGCCACTGGTTTGACCTATGTGATTGGTGAAGCCAAATGTAGAAATAGCTGTAGCTTGTCTCCTTTATGGTGCAGGGAATCAATGCCCTCTAAGATCCAGTCCAAGTCCATTTCTGCCGCCACTTATCATCTCTGCACTAATTTATTTAAAAAGATTCAATGTTTTAGTGACAAGGATCCTTCTTCAGACATATCAACACTCATAAAGTGACACAGTGCTTAAATATAGCCCATAATTGCATGATAGCCCACAGCTGTGTTGAAGGGGTGTCGATAATCACACGCAGAAACACACCCACTCAAGATTTCCTCACATACAGCATCCATAGGTTTTTACACCTGTAAAAGTCTTATGACATTACTCAAGACATTACCCAGGTATACAGAATACAAACTGTAGATTAAGTTGTGTAAATATACAAAGTATGCCGTGGTCAGGAAGCTGCTTTGCAAGCTAGTAACACTCCACACTGGAAGAAGTTCGTTAAAAGTTGATCACACTGACAATGTGCATGTGATATGAAATCATGTCAAAATGTACTACGAAAAGTGGCAACCTCCAAGGCTGAAAAATGAAGCCAGCACTGCAGTGCTAAAAACTGCAGTTCCTCAAATGGCCACTTGAGGCTGGCTCCAGAAGCCAGTCAATCCTCATGCATTCTCGGAACCCATCGGCTGTATTCGGCGTCTGACTTCCGGCAGACGGCGATATGTTCCGCCTCGTTAGTTCACCGCACGGAGCGTTTAACCTGGCAACAACTGCAGCCGGCTCAAACGTGATTGGTCAATATCACGCGGACTACAAACAGCCTACAACCTGAAACCAGGGCTCTTCCGCTATTCTTCCGAAGGCAAAATCTCCAGGGTTTGCCTACAGACTCTACATTCACTGAATGTAGAGTCTGTATATAGAGACTAATCATCATGTAACCCCTATATTGAAAACAACCCAGTCTCACTCCAATCCAGCGCTTGGGCAGTGACTTGCGGTGTCAGACACTGACGAAAAAAACATCCTTTAACGTCTGCATGATACGCGGCCGGTCGCTGCTTTAGTTTGACGTTACTCGGTGGCGTCAGGAGGGAACGTGGCGGGACAAGAACGTAAGTTCAGACGGTGAAAGTCAGAGTAGGGTGGATGGGAGGGATGGAGAATGGGTCCAAAAAACACTGACTTTCACCTGGGAGGGCAGTGGTTGTGTCCCATACGTTTATAATGCCAAAGCCTGTTCGTTTTTCCTAAACCCAACCATGTGCATTTGTTGTTGAAGGAAAAAACACAACAACGTACATTTGCAGTGTAAAGCTGACGTAGTGCCTTTATTTTGAAAGAGACAGTATGTAAACGGTAAATTTCCTGTGAAAACAGAAGTGTATTTTGAAAACAGACAATGCATGTAACAGGCAGAACTTGACATGGTGTCCCAGAAAGTCACCAGGGTACCTTTCATGCTATATCTCATTGTGGAAAGTCCATGACCAAATGTCGAAATGTGGTGAGGTCGGAGTGAGAACATGTGGGTTTTTTATGAGACTCACCCATTTAAGATTCATTAAGGCTTTAAGTTATTTCAGGTGACAAGATGTCTTCAGACAGTGTCCTCGGCTTCTCAGTTAGATCCATCTCTTGCTCCTCCACAGTGCCAGCCTCTTGCCCAAATATGGTCACTTATGGCTCCAAAAAAACAAAATGGCGACGACCGAAACGTCTAACTTAAGGCGTCAAAACAGAAAACCACAAACCAGTGGGTGACGTCATGGTAGCTACGTCCATTTCTTTTTACAGTCTTTGCAAAAAAGTCACATGCCACAAGTCACAAGTTTACAAATCATAAACCAAAAAAATAGAATACCCCACTGTTGATGGGAAAGTGTGGGAATGTCAGCTTTGGTTTTGTATTCAGTCTCCATCAGTCAGACAGCTGCCTTCAGAAAGCAGAGGTGGAGGTATTGCATCAAGCAGGATGACTCAGTTAGCCAGGTAACTTCTAAAATAGCCACAGCTTCTCTGAACTGACTCACTGTGGTCAAAGAGGGTTCAATCACAGCAGAGAAGCTATGGTAAAATAAAATAAAAGAATATTATTTTCCTTTTATGGCCTTCTGCAGTTTCAGTAGCGTAGTCGATACTACACTACTGCAAAATAAAGTTAAAGTACTTGTTTAATTACACATAGTTCACCACCTCCTAACACTGATATACAGCCTACACCTACACCTTCCACGGTTACTTTATTATTCATCAGTTACAGTAAGTGAGATAAAACAGTTGTCCTGACTGCTGCTCTGATTTATGAGATACACTGTGAGGCCAAAAGTACATGGTCCCCACATCCACAGACTTTTAAATACTTGTTGAATGTGAGCAACTTTCTGCAGCACAGCTCCAAAGTTATATGGAAAGACTGAAACAAGAAGAATGGAGGCTGTAATAGCAGCATATTAATGCCCAACATTTTGAAACAAGATGATCAGCAAACACATGTGGATGCTACACTCTGGGGTCCACATTCTTTGTTCATGTGACCACTTAATTTTACTGAATTAATGAGATTAGTTTTCAGGAAAAACAAAACAAAAAACAAAACAAAATCAAACAAACAAAAAAAAAAAAAAAAAAAAAAAACAGGAACAGGATATCATCATAAATGTTTTTTTTTCAGAATTTAAGAGATTATTATTTCAGAATTCTGAAAAAAAAAAATCATTAAAAAATATCTGTTCTATTTTTTCTAAATGAATGAGATAATAATCTTGTTAATTCAGAAAATTATAATTTATGAGATTATTATCCTGTTATTTAAAAAAAAAGGAGCAGACTTTTTTTAAATTCTGAGATAATCTCATTAAATAAGAGAAATTTGAGTTTGAGATTTTTATCTTGTTAATTAAGAAAAACAAGAATGTAATTTTCTTTCATGTAAACTTTTCTCTAAAGTCTGAGACAATAATCTCATTACCTCTGAAAAATGAGAATTAATGAGATTCTTATTTTGTTAATTCCAAAAAACAAAAAAAAAGACTTTTTTTGATGAAAACTTTTCTGGAATTCTTAGATAATCTCATCAAATTAAAAAAATGGAGTTTATAAGATTACTATCTGGTTAATTCAGGAAAAAAGAGCAGTTTTTTTCTGATGAAAACTCAGAATTCTGAAGCAATAATCCTGTTAATTTAGAAAAAAAACGCAATTTTTTAAAATCAAAACATTTCTCAGAATTCTGAGATAATTATCCGTTAATTCAAGAAAATGAGAATTTATAGGTTTGCTATCTTGATTCCAAAAAACACAAGCAGACATCTTTTGATAAAAACTTTTCTCAAATTCTGAGATAATTACATTAAAGATGAAAAATTTGATTTTATGAGATTATCTCAATTCAGAATAACAAGAGCATTTCATTTCATGACATTTTACGAAAACGTTTCTCAGAATTCTGAGATAATAATACGGTTAATTAAGAAAAACAAGGCAAATATTTTTTTTTCTAAAGTCAATGCATTTAGCTTCTATTGATCAGTGCCTCTTTGTTTATCATTTCATAGTTGTTGACATCCACTCAAAGCCTCAGCTGCAGTATCATCACTTTTAAAATACAATTTAATCATGTGTTAGAAACAGGGTTGAGCCAAGTACTGGTACAGATAATGCACGAGTAAAATGTGTCATTGTCTGTACCCATTTTGGTAGCTGTGTTTAATCTGTTACTCTACATCTTAAAATAACAACTTCTGATTAGGCCAAACCCACTTTGACATAAGCCCCACCCACTTTGTGATAAGCCCCGCCCATTCCGAGTACAGATACAAATCATTTAGTTGGTTGAACAGATACAGTTATAGATGATGCACTCACTCGTCTTTAGGTAGAAATCAAATTTCTGTGAGGAAACAAATACATAAATGAGATGATTTTATTGCAGATGTGTCAAGACATCATCATGCCACATCTTTTTACAGTGGTGCTTTAATATGACAAGATGCACATTTATTTATTTATTTATTTTGTTTGCAAAGCTGCTGTTCCTGTGCAAACAATGCCAGGTTATGAGATATGATGAGGATGGAGGTAGATTAATCCCCCTCCCAACCACTCCCAGCACCACCACTCCCCCATCTCTCTTCCTCCCTCTCTTCCTCTCTCTCTGTCTGTGTGATGCTGCAGCTCTGTAGCTCTGTAGTCTCTCCAGTCTCCAGTAAACAGCAGTCATGGCGACAGTGGTCCAACCGCTCTCTCTGGATCGAGGTAAGGCGCTCGGAGCTTTCTCATGTCTGTGTCATCTGACGGCTTTTTGCACCTTTTGACAAACTTCGGGCAAAAGGACCTGGCAACCCGGGGTTGATCCAGGTGTTTGGATTTCCTACAGATTTGTCTTTAACGGGTCGGCATTTGAAGGCAACATGAGCTCGCGCTATTCTAAATAAGAAAAAACAGCCTGTCCGTTGCGCGCGTGCATTTTGCAGAACGGAGCGCTTGATTCATGTGTTTAATTATCGCATTAATTCACCATCATGCATGTGACAGATGGGCATCCGTACATCGCTTACAGCGCGTTTCATTCATTCCCATCTATATTATGTAACCTCCTCGGTATTATCACACCGTTACTGCTTGTTTTTTGTGCGCTTCATCTGTAAACATAAAGCTTGAGCTGCTGAAGCGCTTTGGCACCAACATCCACTTTGACATATACGAGACAACTTTTGTATTTGGATTTGTGCAGGTGCAAGCCAGGCAGGTTGGTGCCTTCACGGGAGTGTTTTTTGCACTTGTTGGAAACATCCTGTGTGCACGCAAATTGCAATTAAAGCCCATGATAACACACTGTGATGGTGTCAGCCTGCCTGTGCTGCTAATGCACCACAGGTAGTGTTTACTAAGAGCTGTGTGTAATTGCAGACCATGTGACTTACACACTTATTTGTGCATCCCCTGACCTCATTCATATGGTAGTAATGCCTCCAGGATCCAGTTTTGCATAATATGTTTCATTCTCCTTCTTAAAGAAAAGAGCTGCTGTGCTGTAACACAGTTTAGCATATTGTATAGACATTAAAGCACCCCTTAGAAATATCATAGCAATACCACTGGGAGCTTTTAGACAGATTTCAGTACAAAACGACCCGTATACATGAAGCACAGACTCACTTTATATCCCCGTACTTTCTTGTTAAAGTGACTATTTTTAGTGCACAAGTGAGAAACTCCCAGCCTTACATTCAGACCAATGCATATCCCATGGTGAAATGTAATATTGCGCAAGCCTTGCATAGGAAATGGATGCTGTCAAATATAGAGAGAGGAGAGCTATTTCCTCTGTGCCAAGTAAAGCTAGCATCAGCTCCCCAGTCACTTCCAAGCCACAGGAGGTGACTATAAATACACGTAATCTCGTGGGAGCATGAATTATTACGTGGGAATTAATCTGACTGGTGTCACTTGTTATGTGGAATCCAAGTAATTAGCCACAATTGATCATTTTCGGCTATAAAGAGGTTTTTTTTTTTGGACCCGCTGTGTGCTCAATTTCAATTTGTTCTTCAGTAAAGTTTAATGTGTGTGGGCAGTGAAGCTTTACTGATGCACAGTCTGCGGGCTGAAGAAGTGCTATATCATGGAGAGTTAATGAATTGAGTTTCAGATTGCAGGCAATCAGAAAAACAATACAACCCACGCATCTGCGAGTCATCCTATAGAATTATAGAAAGAGGCTTAGCCGTGCTGATAAACATGCTTTTAAACACTCAGAGGAATGTCTTCCATCTTGGTAAAATGTCAGCGTTCAGCCTTATCTGATCGCAGTCATTTGCAGGGGCAGAGATTCAGACGTGACCTCAGCCTGAATGCAGGAGGGGAGGACTGATCCATATTCGCATGCTGTGGCATGAATTCGACCAGTCAGCGGCTGGCAGCTGTAATGGCAGGAGCAGTAATAATGATAGCTTCACACAGGCTCTCTTACAGGCTCGCTTTCCTTCAGCTGCTGCCACTTTGGAGAAAACACTGTAATTGCTAATGAAAAGGTAGCCTCGTCTCATGTTGGGAGTAGGCTTCAGCTGCCGGGTTGCTGAGTTTGTCAAACACACGCAGGGAGGAAACGGATAGAGATGCTCGTTTCCAGAGCTCCCACTTGGCTTGTTGGGTCACAGCAGGATGAAAAGATCTTACATCACTGGCCTTCCTGTTATTGTCGGAGGAAATGGCTGTGATAAGCAAGCAGCAGCAGCATCCTCTATCAAGAACAATGGGTTTGAACCTCCCTGAATATTTTATAAAAACCAGTCTGCATTTCTCTGTGGAGCTGGCATTTAACTGCAAATAGGCAAGTCTCAGACATGACAGCAATTTTTGATATGGAATAGTGACAGCAGAGGTCCTTCTGGATGTATCTCAGTGGCTGCTGCTGGTAGAGGAGTATTTTTAGAAACTTACAGAGAATGAGCAAGCTAGATTTTCACCCCTTTGCCAAAAGAGAGATCGTCTGTGTGTGCAGAAATTGCAAGTTGTGGCAACTACGAACAACTATGAACAACTACGAACTTATTTAATGGGAAAAGTCCTAAGTATAGTGGAGGTTATACAGAGGTATACGGGGTATACCCACCTATCAGCTAAAAAGTCATTGAAATAAATAACAGTGTACCAACTTCCTACTCCCATCTACCCTGAAGTACACCCACCACATCAACTACCCAACACATTCTCACGCCTATCTCGTCACATATCGACGTTGGGTCATGGACTTTCCATGTTGAGATATGATGTGCAAGGTACCCTGGGTACATTGGTTGTTGGCATTCTGGGATGCTGTGTCAAGTTCTGCCTGTTACATGCATTGTCTTCTTTCAAGAACACTTAGGTTTTCACAGGAAATCCTTACAAAAATGTTTGTGGTTAGGTATAGGCAACAAAAGCACATGGTTAGGTTTAGGATAAATAACAGGGTTTGGCTTTATCATCTTATGGGACGTGAACACCACTCCCCCAGGTGGAAGTCAGTGTTTGTTGGACTTTCCCTGGCTTAACTTTCGTTCTTGTCCCACTGCATTTCAACGTGACGCTGCTGAGTGCTGTTAACCTATAACGGCAACCGGCTGTGTATCATGCCAACGTTAAAGAATGCATTTTTTTGATGGTTTCTGACACCGCAAGTCACTGCCCAAGCGTCGGATTTCGACGACTTAGGAGTGAGACCGGGCCCGTATACCTACCTCTTCTGGCTATTTACAGTATACTCACCTGTCAGCTAAAAACTGATTGGAATAAATAAGAAAATACATAAGAGTATACCGACTTCCTCCTCCCATCTACCTTGACGCACACCCACCTCATTAACTACCACTATGCCACTGGGAAAGGTTACAATCAGCCTTCACTCCCAGGACAAATGATTGTGCAGTAGTCATGGGCATTTATCGGCTCCAGCTCTGACTGGCTACAATCGACAGTGTTGGAAATATGACACCTCGGTTGATGTGCCACAAAATATACCGTCCATCTCCGTCCAGTCATCACATGAATTGGAAAATTTGATCAGATGATGCTAGATCAAAAGTTAAGGGATCACCAAAGTTACTATACATCGTTCTTAACGTTCTCTCCAATAGTTGTTGATATATTTCACTCAAAACCACAAATGTCAACCTCATGATGGCTCTATACGAAGAGTGCTTATGTTTCACGTCTGGGGGAGTATGAATGTCTTTACAAAATTTCATGCCAATGCATTCAATAGCATAGTTGTTAAGATGGTAAAGTCTAAACTGAAAAAGCCAATCAACAGCAAGGCTCATATCACACTGCTAGCATGGCTAAAAACATCAGTTTGACAGAAATAACCCAACCTAAAGAAGAACTGACTTTACTGTGAATAAAATGCATGTTATACATTAGCAGCTGGTGTATATCAGGACTCATAACCTGCACGTCTGTGTGTGTCTAGACAGTGTATGATTCAAAGAAAACTGCTCTGTCAAACATCTTTTCAGGTATTATCAGCAGCAGTGTCTTGGTAAAAAACAACCAATTTTTGTGGCGCTATCCTCAATAGCAAAACAACCACAGGTTGCTAAAAAACAACCATCTTCAGTGACTAAAAAGCCACTGGAAACACAGCAGTGACTCACGAACACACAACTGTTTTTGTTATGTGTTAGTCTCAGAGCAGGGATCTGCAGCTTGGCAGGCATCTTGCCTAGGTGTCAAACCATCCATCATCCTCTCACCTCCCAGAGACAAAATCACCTCATATACTATGCTACTTTAAAAATATTGGTATGATGTAACGGGTTTGGGTTTGTAGAAATGTACAAAGCCAACATTTTCTATTGGTGACTGGGCTGCCACAGTACTTCTGATTCAGTTAGTGACTGCCTCCACATCCACTGACCTTTAAAAAGCCCAAAATACAGCGCTGAAGTTGATGTTCATCCGTTGGTTATAGAGGTAGAAGGACAGAGTGATAGCCTGGTGAAGCCTTTGGAAGGGCATGAAAGTGATACATTTTCAATTTGAGAAATATTTGAACTGTGCTCTTTACACAGAGTGCAACATCATGTAGCTGCGTCATCTTCAGGTCCATAGAGGCCAGTTTCTCTACAGTGCATTCCTCTCTGTGAGGCTGCTGAACATCACTTCAAAATGGCAGCTCCAGAAAGAACTCCTTGCTTCTTTAAGCACGACTCCTTTTTGCTTTCTTCCCTGTGTGTCAAGGTTTTGTGAGTCTCACTACAGTTTACAGCCTCCTGTCTTAATAGACTGAAAGGAATATGTGCTGCACTCGGCTGCCCCAGTCCTAGTTTTCCCTCTGAGAGATCATGGCGAGTTCACTGATTTGCGTCCGGACCTTATTCCCATCACATGCTCTCAGTCACACCAGCGATTGAAGGATTAGAGGGTTGCTGACAAGCTGACGTCACTCGTAGCTGTTGATATCTCAACCAACCCTTGTTAAATACAGAACTAAATGCTTCTTGAAGTAATTGTCTTGGAGGGGCACTTGACAGCAGATTTGCTAAGGGCGCCAAGGACCCCCAGGTCAAAGTATCGATGGCAGATGAAAAGGTCTTTTCAGGACATTGTACTCTAGCATAGCATCCCAGAGAGCATCTCTCACAGTGGAAAGGTGAGCTGAGTCACAGGAGGGTCGCTCAAGCAGAATTTCAAAGGAGGATCCTCAACCTTATGGTTTGATGAGCTCAGCTTTGGATCTGGGCGTGTTTATTTACATCGCTGCAGTTTTGTCA